CTAAAATCGTACCAATCCGCTTTCAATCCCAAGAATTTCCTGTACGCCTAATACGACAAGTTTAATTCTTCCTGAAGAATTTGACGATGGCCTAAACGATGACGACCGACATTTACTCATGCAAATGCTCTCAGACGCAAAACTGATATTATTTGTCCATATTAGCCATTCTTCACCATCGTCCCTACTGAATATAATCTGCATAATTACGTTGTTATAGTCAGCTACGCGTTTCCGATACCATTTTACTCATCTTCGGAAAATATGTTCCAAAAACAGTTCAAGATCATGTTGAATCCTTGGAGATTATCGTGCTAAAGAACTCTACAGTCAAAACAAAACGAATTCGAGTAATTCGAGTATATTCTGAAAGTTAGTGATATTTCTGATTTAAATGGCACAGTCGCGCGGTTTCATTGTCTTTTAGCAGCACAGGGGACTCTTTAAGTAGACCACAATTCCACTGCTTATATAACCCATAGTTCATGAACGCAACACCATACCACTGTATGAGACCGAGCGACAACTTGTCAAGACAAACTTAAATGTCATTATCCGAAGGCATGTACACATAAAAAGAAGCTTGATATTCTGGGTTTATTAGCTAACTTCTTACGACAACTACATGTCAATTTGCAGGCTTGACACTACGCAGTGTATTGTTCCCTTGCTTCTAGTGGCCTCTGTGTAGGCATATATCAGGATAATGTAATCTAAATTCGTGTCTATCAGGCTATTGTTCAGCCAAAGACAATGGTAGGGTTTAGCATCCATTGTCAGAAGACGCCAAGGAGCTATCGAGCCGCGGCCTGCATGAATAGTGTAGTAAGTCACTAGTGGAAAGGAGATGTGGATCGGGACGCATAAAACTGATGTGTCTGAGGATGCTTAATGGCGGTATCAAAAACAAGCGGTTGTCAGTCAGAAAAGAATAACGGCGCTGTTTTTGTATACAATTTTAAAACTATCAAAATTAGAATTATTGTATAATTAACGGTAAACAGTTCACAGAAACTTACTTTTCAACGAGTCGTAGCACTTCTGCATTAAGTGGCGGACCTTTTCCAGAAATACCGTCACGCTGTGCGACGACTCTAACAGCGAAAAAAGTTTAAGATTGTTTAGCAAAGGCAACAGTAGTCTAAACACGAACTAAAAACAGCGCTGAACGAATGTCACTACTTGAGGTACTTCGCTTACGTCGCTGGATCGACTGGTCAAATCGCTGACCGCGTGTGCTTGGTCAAAAGTCCATAGAATGACCACTGGCTGAGAGCAAGATGCTGCCGCCTCCAGCACCGTCATAAGCCATTCCTCAGGAAAACCGTCCGGCTCTCCGTCTCGCTCGCAGTATGCACAGGCTTGCAATTCAGAGAAAAGAACAAGACTCGGAAGTAAAAGATGCGACTAAGAAAGAAACACTATCAGGCGATAAAAAGACAACATTCGCAGTCAAAGTTAGTTTTATAAAAAACATCTGTTTTCGATTCTGTACCCACTGCTGAAACTGTTACATTAGCCAACATGTTCTATGATAGGGAAACGCGTCGGAAAAAAGTTTTATCATCGGCCTTAGCTTCAACCCAAAGCGCTGCTACTTAAAGTAAGCGCAGGACGAATCAATTTCTTCGGCATACTCTGATCGTTTCCGAGCCTCCACACTCGTGAATGACATCTTTTTCTTTAAAACAGTGCGCTACACTAAACACAGACAGAAAGAGGTAACAGATCTACTCAGTACCTTACAAGTGAACACGAAACCATTATATCATGGTGTACGTAAACAGAAAGAAGATGGGTTAATCGATCAAACGATAAGTTGCACTCGACATTTACGTATGTATTTAATGGGCAGCTGCAAGATAAAGAGCGGGTATTGATGCCAATATCTGCTGCAACAGGTTCGTTTCGCTTCCGTAATCAAAGGTCAACCATCTGTCTGCCTAATCTTTAGCACATTTAAACAATGCGTATTCATGCTGTGTCAGCATCACTAGCAACGTATGAACAGAACTGCTATTAAAACCGATCTACGAAACAGTTCAGTAGCTGGGTCATGAAAATTTTAATGACCGTGTTACTATTTCACCTATATAACACTAAACAAACTTCAGCGGTGATCCTTTTTGACCAAGCTTAAAAATTTTTAGTCTAAAATTTATGCAATAAACGATTAAGCTTGGAGAACTTTTGCATATTAAGCTGATCCTATATTTAATACATAGTACTTGATGCTATACTTTGTGACTGTTGTACTGTTGTGACTTTCCACTGAAATTTCTATAGTAACGAAGAGTAAAGTGTGGTTTGTTAGTGAAACTAGAACGTTCGGAATTAGCTGAATTCTAATTAAATTTAAAGTCGCTAACTCCGCCACTGCCGGTAGCAAGCCAGAATGAGAAAAGAAGAGGGTTGGAGACCGTGGCAAGTATCCGTAAAATTCAGCCACCTGCCACTCATAGTATCGGTACCATCGAAAATTATACCGGCTCGGTCGTCGCCCGGGTTACCAAGGGTCGCACAGGCTGTTCGGGGACTGAGGCAGACTGCGAAAAGTCGGCGATCAGAACCTGCTCATTGCCCTCTGC